TTCCTCTTTTCTTGGTGCAAAATACCCTTCCCTCCCATGGCTATTTATAGTAAAAAAAAAATTTACTATTCATTAATATTTTAATATTATTTATTATTTTAATATTATTTAAAAATAATATTTCAATCATTTTCTCACCAAATCTGATCCTAATTTCTACCTACTACTTTCTTCCATGCTAAGGAATCTTAAATGCTGAAAATTTATTTTTACTATTTACTTTTTACTATTTACTATTTACTTTTTACTATTCAATTTTAAAAAAATTTACTAAATAAGTTACCAAAAATTTGAACCTCTCCTTCTAAAATTACTATAATTTTATATCCAAAATTTACATTTTTCTATCCATTAAAATTATTATTACTAATAAAATACTAAAATTTACTACTATAAATATATATATATATATATATATATATATATAATTTTTTTTTATGGGTCTTACACTTCTTATAAAATTATATTATGCAGAGAGACCTCAACAAAGTAGTAATGAAAATGAAGTTTGAGCAAGACAACAGCCATGTTGGTATCAGAGAGAGCGAGAGTAGCTTCTTTAACAATGTCACAGATAATGAAATCTACCTGAGGACAAGCGTTGAAGTAGAACCCTACCTTAAGCTGACCATCAAAACAACCCATTAAGAATAAGAAGAATAAGAGAGCAGATAGCAAAGCATCCAATGTGCGTTACTCCGAGAATGAGTAACCTTTTAACGTTGCCACATCAATTAGACCACATTTGCCATGTAATAAAAAATTGGACAGGTTGGTTAAGTTTTGTTAGTTTTTTAACTCAAGAAGAAAAAAAAATCAATTTGAACATTTATTTACAATATATGGAATAATTATGAACATCTGAAAAAATGTAGGATAATTTTGAACACACCTCACAAACTACCGAGAGATCAAAATAGGTATAAAAGCTAAAATAAAAATTCAATAGTTAAGATAATTTTATAATGTTTATAACTAATTCAAATAAAAATAATGTCAAACATAAGAGAGGTTTTCTAATATTATCTTTTTTAAATATAATTATTATAACTATTGTCATTTTCAATTGTTTTTTATCGTAAATCAAATTATCTTATAAAATTTTAAAAATATATGCGTGATAGAACTATTATTTGTTTGCTAGTATAAGATTAAGAAGTTCCATTATCACTAGGGAAAGTAATCAATCTCTTGAAGCTTTTTTTCGTCAACCAAAAAAAAAATTATCTCAATAACTCCACAATAACCAATATAAAGAATATTTTATTAATTTTTATTATACACAACATTTTTATTCATATTATCATTTGAAATGTTACTGTCATACTCATTTCATCTTTACTATTATATAAAGGAGTTTTTCTTTTAATGTGTATATATATTTTTTAATTTCTTTTAAAATAATTATTTGTTAAAATTAGATTAATAATCATAATTATCTTTTAAATAATTATTTTAAAATTTAATCATTTGTTATTTTTAAAATTAGTTATTTTTTAAATTAAAATAAATCGTATTTATAATAAAAATATTTACAAAATAAACCTAATAAATCGTATTCCTTTACAGGTATGTACAGGCGTAATCGTATCGTATACGTATCTTACAAGTTTCTTTTACGCTGAGTATTTAAACCCACGATTTAGCCCAATGTGTTTGAACCCGTGAATCAATATCCTTGTTGATAGGTGCACACGGCATTTTCATCATTGTTCGTCACAATTCTATTATATAAAATAATATATTTATATATATATAATTAAATAATAAAGCCCTCGTTTTTGGAATTCCATTTTCTTCCTTGTCTTGTTTCTTCTCTGCATCTATGGGATCTCGTGCATAGACCAACCCCAGAAGAAGGAAATAAATAAAAAAATAAAAATCAACTTTTTTGTAAATCCCCACCTTTTTTCTGCTAACGATTTTATGTTTCTTTCTTAGTTTCTGTAGTTTATCTTTGTCGATCGTAATTGGGTTTGATCTTTCTCTCTCAATTTGATAATTGTGTTGTGTTTCTTTTGGATTTTATTTTTCCCAAGAAAAATCTTGAAATTTAATGTTGATTGAATTTTGTTCAGGGTTTGGGGGTTAGGTTTAGGGTTTGTTTTTCATTGGTGCGGTGGTTAAATGTTGATCTGTGGTTAGTGCCGGCCATGTATGACCTTCCTTGGGATTTAATTGGGTTTTGGAGATTGGTGCTTAGTTATCCCCAATCTACTGTGGGATTCCTTTCTGCTTCTTCATTCCTCTTAGTTTTAATTTTTTGTGATTGATTTGGTGTTTGGATGCATGCAATTGGAATGTTCTGCAATTGCCCTGTTCTTTTCTGTGAAACAGAGGTTTGTGCGTGGAAATCATTACTAGTTTGTTTGATTATCTATATAAATTTGTGATAGATGTCTTATTTGGCAAATAAGGGGTTCTTGTTGTTCATGAATCTTGTGAACTAGCAACACTTTGTTGCTTGATATTTCTGCATGGGATTTTGTTATTTTTCTTGATGTTATTTTTATTCTATTGGTTTCTGCTTAATATTTGATATACGGGCGATGAATCGAATTTCATACTCTATGTTATGATCCATGTCCATTTTATTGATTATATGACTTAATAGTGCTAATTGCTCCCATGCTTTAGGACTTTTGAAGAGTATGTGGGATAGACATCCTGAATGTGTAAAATTTGATTTGATTTTCCGGAGTAACTGAAACGTTGGGTTGTTGGATAAGAAGAATTCCTACCTACACTGCTAACCTTACCTTTTTTTGGCTATTATCAATGCAGTAATCCTTCACTTGCATATTTACAACTAACCCTGATAATGTCTTTGTAATTTCCTGAACTTTTCTGTCCCTCACCATCATGATATATACGGAGTGTTGCTTCTGTAACAATAATGCACTGAAGTGGTTTTTGTTTCTGATTTATTTTCCTGCATGCTCATTTGAGTTTTACTCAAATAACTAGAAAAAACTCATTCCCCCCCATATATGACATTTTAGTATGTCAGTTCCATTCATATGTTCTCCTGGGTTGAATCCATGTTGACTTGTTTGATCTTAGATGCAAAACAAAAATAAACGGGATTTACTGATGAGTCTGGATCACATAATCCATGTTGACTTCTGATAATGTGATCTAGCATACTAGGTATAAACTTGTTAGAATAGTAAACTCCCTTCCAGTGTTGCGTTAATGAATCAGTTTGATTGAAGTGTCCTTATTTCTCTGTTCATATATAGTTCTGTTTCTAATTGACGATTCCTAGATTTTAAACTTAATTGATATTGAAATTTATTGGATTGAGATCTTGTGTTGCTGAACATAGTCTTTTTCTTCTTTTTTTTGATGGTGTACCCGCAGATTTTGGGGCTTGTTGGTGATTCTGTTGTACAGAAGTGTTCGTTAGTTATACATGTGTCCAAGATTATTGTATACATTGATTCATTTTTTGTATCGTACTTTGGAGCATTGCCTGAGGGATTGCCCTCTGATTCTTTTGTGAAGTCACCTAAAGTTCTTATAATTACAAACTGAGCCAGAAGCTGGTAGGGAATATAGCTAGAGCTTATCGCCTTGGTAAGTTTATAAGCTAACAATACATCATATTGTTAATCTCATGTCCTTTATTAATGTCTGAAAAATTCCTTTTGCATTGTGCTCAATACATATTTGTTGAACTGTTTCATTTCATTTCTTGTATGGATCTCCTTTTTCATTATTTTCATTGGCAAATATTTTTCTATTCATTTTTATCTGTTAAAGTCTCTTTTTCTTATACATAGTTTTCTTCTATGAGAAAAGCTGAACTTTACAATGAGTAGACCTAATTTTCTTCTATGAGGAATCTAGATTTTGCAATTGACAAGAAAGTCTTCGTTAATAGTCACTAGAGCAAGGTCCCTTATGTTGGAAGTTGTAACATATGGGAAAGGATACAAAGTGTTGTTACAACAGATAAGAGTAATTGTCAGTCTTTGTCAAATTAGTTTTTAGTTTAGTCTGAAGCAAGGACACCATTCTAGTATAGGTCTTTTAGTTCAAAGAATCCAATGACGAAGGTGCCATTAACCTTGAATGATGATTAATAATACTAGCCAAATGCTTGGTTTTGAATCCAAGATTGTTATATTGTTGTCTATGGATATGTATGAAGAAGTAATTACACGATGGGGCTACCTCATCCTTTAGTTATGCTTCATTTTGTGTTGTCAACAGTTGTGCTTTTTATCAGTTTTTTTTTTCTTTTTTTACTTTTATAATTATAGAGTCAAACAAATGACAGCTTTTGTGTCAGTAAAGTTTGAACTTTTGAGCAGTGGAAAAGGTGTGATATACATCATTTTGAATTATAAATCAATGCCCTTCAGAGTTCACATGTTGCAATGTCAGATGTAGATTATACCTTGTTTATGTAAATCTCAAAATCACACATAGAATCAAAACATTATCCTCTTATCATGTTTTGTAGGAAGGATGTAATAGTACATAAGCTTCACTGTTGTGTGTAATAAAAGGAAAACGTTATACGTTTGTATTTTTTTGTTCCTTTTTCGTGTTTTAATGGGTAAGGGCAAATAGAACTAAAACTATAGGAATACATAGAAATTAGAGGGAAGCCAGTGACTAGAAATCCGAGCAATATTATACATAAAGCTTGTCAGTTATTGCTTTTCTTGTGCATTTCACAATAGACAGAGCTTAAGTGATTTGTGTGGAGTTTTATTATATCCAGTTTTAGTTTGTTACATTTTTATTGTAACTCTTTGCTTGTTCCTAGACTAATAGAATTTCTCTTCTACTGCTGATCATGTATTTTATTTTTAATTTAATGTTAAAGAATAGTGTGTATGATATCCAAGTTTGTAAAATTGAAAAAAATGTGGTCCGGTTACTTGCATCCTTTTCTAATTGGTTCAATATGTTGAGTAGTTAACACCTTGCGAAGAAGATGGCTGGTGTTAAGAGAAGATTATGTAGTGATTCAGATATCCATGCTCTTCACAAAGAACTGGATGAAGTTTCATGTCCTATCTGCATGGACCATCCACATAATGCTGTTCTCCTACTTTGCAGCTCTCATGAGAAGGGCTGCAGATCTTACATTTGTGATACAAGTTATAGACATTCAAATTGCTTGGACAGATTTAAAAAAATGAGGGACAATTCTAAGGAGAACCAAAATTTACCCAGTTCTTTAGTTAACACAAACAATTCTGGTAATAGTTTTGATATTAACATTACTATGCAATCTGACATGCATGATGTTAATGAACTCCATGCAAATGAAATTAATACTCTATTGTCTGTTGGACTTGCACAAGGATCAAGACAGGGTGATGCCCAAGATCCAAGTAGGCATTTAGACCAACATGATGAAGGAATTTTAGAAACTGCTGATTCTGAGACCTTGCAGGACAGGGCTGTGCTTGAGGATTTAGATGCAGATAATTCATCTGACTCAAAATTGAAATTGAAATGCCCTTTGTGCCGAGGTGCAGTATTGAGCTGGGAGGTGGATGAAGAGGCTAGAAATTATCTGAACGTGAAGAAGAGAAGTTGCTCAAGGGACTCATGCTCATTTGTTGGTGATTATCTGGAACTGCGTAGGCATGCAAGGAGAGTTCATCCTACTTCTCGACCCTCTGACATTGATCCTACAAGAGAAAGAGCCTGGCGAAATTTTGAGCGCCAGAGGGAATACGGAGATATCATGAGTGCTATTCAGTCTGCAATGCCAGGAGCTGTGCTGGTTGGAGACTATGTTCTTGAGAATGGAGATGGTATTGGTAGGTTATCAGATGAACGTGAAGGCAACATCAGCAATGCAAATGGACCTTGGTTAACGACCACCATATTGTTTCAAGTGATGGATAATACCATTGAAATAGTTAGGGAACCAAGAGCTCATTCAAGTACATGGACAAGGCACCGGCGTTCATCTGAACGCCGGCGATATCTTTGGGGTGAGAATTTACTGGGTCTTCATGAAAACGACATTGAAGATGATCTTAGGATATTTAGTGACGCAGCTGAAGATCCATCCCCTGTCCCAAGGAGGCGAAGACGTTTGACCCGGACAAGATCCAATGAAGATCAACCACGATGATTGCCATCATTTACCTGGTAATGTTTATAGTTCAGTTTTATGGCAGAAAGTTGTATTACTTGAATTGTTTTGAATATGTCATCACTTACAAAACTTGGTTTCTTCATTAGAATTGTTTGAATTTATTCAAAGTTGTGGTGGGAAATGCATGCATACAGACCTATGTTCCAGCTTGGGGACCCAGAAGAATATGGTGAAGCAGGAAGTTCAGAATAAATCATAGTCGTTTCCTTGAACACCAGTTTCATTGAAACAAGGAAAATCTCGGAAGGATGTTTTCACAAACACGTTTGATGTAAAATGCATTTAGCCTTGATTGTAGCACTGTTAATATAGTTATGATGCATAATAACTCGTACTGTGAACCTATGCTGCTGTTCAATCCTTATCTGAACTAAATCGTTTGGTTTGAGATGGGGAATATTGTGTGATTCTTTTAAGGGTCGATGTTTCTTTGTTTTTTGGGACATAATGAAAAAAATGAAGACAAGTGACCTCACCTGAAACATTGTCACACGTTTGAAGCAATGCTTCAAACTAGTTATTATTTTTGGAAGTAAAAGCATGAAAGGGACAAAAGAAAGTGTGTAATTTGGAAGACATTGGAGGGTGTGTTCAAAGGGTTTCAGAATGGTGATGGAATCAAATGATTTATGTGTTGACTGTTCAACATGGCTCAACCTCCTTTGTACGGCCAACCCCTCTTCTCTCCTCCTTGAAACGCTGCCTTCCCATGTTACGGAATAATAAATAAATTAAATAAAAGAATAAGAATATTTTTTTATTGATATTGTTTATGTTTTAGATTCCTTTTAATTTATTTCTAAAATATCAATTCTAATGTTTTTCATTAATGATTTTAGAAAGTGGTAAGAAAATTTAAAAATTAAAATATTTGGTAACTGTCTACGATGACATTACCAATTTATCAAGTTTTAGCCAATCTCTTATTGTCTCCCTATTCCACTTAAATCGTTCACTTTCTTACCTCTCTTTCGTTTAGAGGTTTATATTTTTATTATTCTCCACTTAATTATTTTTACATTTCTCCCCCACCCATGTGATTCAAACTATTTCATTTCTCTATAATATATAAATGGTTTTTTATTTTATACCCAGCACTAAAATGTATTCATTTTGCTAACTATTTAATAATTGATTCAAATTTAATTTTACTCTTAATATATGTACAAAGAAATATTATTTAACAATTCAAGTAAAATTATATTAACAATAATGAAAATTAAAAAATTATAAGCATCCAAATATTACTTTTAGACTTAAAACATTTTTTCCTCAAATTAAAATTCAATTTTTAGTCTCCATTACAAAATGCTAATTTTAAATTTCTGAATGTCCTTATGAATATTAATAGCATGACTAGTAACGTGAATGGCAACATATTGAGTAAGGGTCATTGATTATTTTTTTAATTTAATCTAGATTCAATAAAATAGATTAGATCTATACTTCATATTTATTTTAATTAGATAAATTAGATTTGTTGATTTTTTTTTCAATTCAAATTAAATTAGACTAAATCTATATTGAAATCATTTTGTAATAATGTGGACTTAGGCTAACTTGTGTCAACCTAGGTTGACCACCTTATTTTACTTTCAACCGAAGCTGATTTGAATCAATTTGACTTCAAACTGACTTAACTTGATCTAAATCTATGTTTATTAGACTTGATTTGAGACGGGTCAACCTGACTTGACATGGGCTTGTGTCAACCTGAATTGACCTTTGAAATGGACTGACTCAACTAGTCATTCAACTTGAGTCAACTCAACTAAACTTTTAGTTCTATTAAACACATTTCTTAACCTTGAGGTTAAATTAGTTTGACTCAATCTTTGATTTAAACCGACTTAGCTTGACCATCGTCCTAGGCTAACACATCTCAACTATCGATCCCGATCAATCCATTTTGACCATTGATTCAAACCAACTCGTCTTAACCATTTTTGGACTAACTCGCCTCAATTTTTAGATCAAACAAACATATTTTATTATAAGTCAATAACCGACAAAACTGTTTATCAAATATAACAATAACGACTTATTCAAGCTTATTTATTGCAACCAATTTATATTTTAATTTTTAATGAGTCAGTCTTTTATTTATTTATATATATATATATATATATATATATATATATATAATTGTGTAAAAGTATATTTGAATAGTTTTAATACTTATCACTGTAGAAATAAAGAATACATTATCGAATTTAATAAAGAAATACACAATACTTATGGATTACAAGATTTCTCAAATTTTGAATTCAAGAAACGTATTCTTACTCGTATAAAAGATACTCTTAATATAACTGGAATATCTTATAGTTTTTTTATTAGATGATAATTAATTATTTTTTAATTTATTTACGGAATAATGTCAATTGAACAAATCTTCCTAAGAATAAATTTTATATTATAATTCATATATTTTATCCTTAAGAAAGTTCTAAAAATATATATTGTACACACCATAGAGAGTTGCAATCCAATTCATATTCTTTTTCTATTTACTATTAATTTGTGTAATTTATTATTGACTTAAGGGTCAAAAAGTAATTGGCAACTAAATCTCCATTTAAGTAAAAGTTGTTTTAAAATGATATTAATGAAAAGGCATTTGTAGGTGTTTGAGAGAGAGAGAGAGAGTGTGAAGCGTAGGAATTCCGAAATTCTAGTTGGAAATTCTGGTGCGTTGCATAGCTCAGCCATGTGACACTGATGGTTCCCCAATTTGTACCCACAGGAATTCACCGCTGGCTAAATATCTTCTGCAAGCCCCCACATGCTTAACTGCAACAACAACAAAAAATATATATACCTAAGTAACTTTTCTCTTCATACATAAATATACAAGATTTTCAAAGGTATCACCAAGCACCATGCATGTGCAACCAAATTTTATTTCTTAATCCAAATCTCTGTTCTATTTCCATGTGCCCCCCCAAATATTTGGCACTTTCCATATAAACTACTCTTTCTATGCATCTTATCTCCCTCTTTTCCCACCAACTTTGCTTTTAAAAACTCATATACCCTATCCTTTTCTTTTCTCTCCTTGCACATATATTATCTCCACATAATTTCCTTCAATCATATATTTGTTTTCCATGACTCACCATCCAATCAACTTTTTGAAAAATTATAAAGTAAATTTGAAAAAAATAATTATAGTATAAATAAATCGTGTCACTTTATCTAGTTGATGTGAAATTTTCAAAATATACAACTTTATATCAAAACAATTTTAAATTAACATTAGTTAAATGTATTTTAAACTTAAATAAGTATTAAAATGATATCATTTTAATTAAAATGTCCTGAATAATCAAATTAACGCAATTTCAGCTTTGAAAATATTTTTAAATTAAAATTGTGTTATCTTCATACCACTTATTCACTTTGAAATCGTGTCATTTTGATACACCTTATTTTTTTTCATAATTTTTTTAATCTTTTGAATCTCCCTTTTAAGTAATTTTTCTAAAAAAATGCACAAAAGTGGTGCTTTTGCCTCGCATTGTAGCATACGGATTCAAGGAACAAGAAAAACAATACATTCTTTTAAGCTAATGCAGTATCAGTCAATTTTCATATGATCTGCTGTTAAATTTTTATCAAAATAATGTGATTATGTTTCGTGTGAGTATTGATTATCAGGTTAAATTTCTCTCTTTTAACACACTTTCATATTTTATAATTGATTGATATTAATGTAGATCCCAAGAGATGTGTCAGTCTCATTTTCTCTTTAGTGATTCTATTCCCAAAGTGGTAAACCTACAAAAATTTCATTCAACAAAACAGAAAGAAGAAGATGGGTTCACAGAAATCTAATATCGAATAACAGAATAGAAAAAAGAGCACAAGTTTGATGAAGTGTATGATATATTAAAGTGCCTATATATCATCTCTGAACAAAAATATGCTGAGAATAATATTAAAAAAACGTATTACTATTATCATTATTTATATATTGGAAGGCCTTAAAAGGCATATTGATACTTGTGCATAGCTGAAAGGACAAGTAGAAAGAGATGATCAAGTAATCTTGGTTCAAACAAATGACATTTAATGTTGCTTGTTTCATTCTTTTATTCTTACCCTATTGCAAGAAGCTTTTTGTTTCAAGCAACATTAAGTGGATTGCTAAACAATTCATCATTTTAGTCTCAAAAAAAGGTAGAATTCCATGCTAACTCTGCACCACCTTCATTTGAAAGTAGCCTATTAAAGAAATCTCCAATTGGTGGAACTTCAAAGATGGGGTCCAAACATCTGAGAGACACACAAAAATGTATGGCCAAGAACACAGCCGCAGAGGCTGCACTGAAACATGTTGTTTCTTAATTGATTAATATGAAATTTGAAGTGGTTTAACCTTAGTATGTGCCACTTGATCATGTTATTTATATATATAATAAGGCATTAAGCCCCATGTTACAAAGAATCAGAAGCCAACTATTCCCCATTCACAGCCTGGTTGTCTCACCATCATCCTTAGATTCACTGCAATCTTGTTTGTCTTATCTCACCAAAGGACTCATAGAGTAGACAGGAATCTTTGGCATCCAGACAGCACAGATAGATCTGCAAACCTGTTCATTTGACTGGTACAGTCATCACACAGACCCACAAACACAGACAAATATTTATATTTTTTATAAAAAGTTGGAACAAAGTATCCTCTGTAGGCATGCAGGTATGATTGTTATGTGATCATAATATATATAGTGGAATCTACAGCATGCATTATTCACATCAAGGCTAACACCTCTTTTGGTGTGTGATACATATCAGATTCTTCAATGGCTCTTTAAAGGTGCACATGAGCAATAAAGAAAGAGGAGCAGCAGCAACTTCAGTATCCCTCCCAAAAGGGAAGATACCAGTGGTACTAAAATGAACTCTTTCTTATTCTTAAAAGTTACAGTCACTATACTACTGCTTAATTTCTCAACTCTTACTTGTTTCATATGAACTTCTTTATATGATTTTGGTGTGATGAATGAAGAATCTTGATACAAATGTATCTGCTTCTTTTTCAGGGAAAAATGGTAAAGGGAAAGAGGTAAATCTGCTGAAGCGTGAGGGATCACAGAAAAGAGGAAGAAGGAACAAATGGGGCACGCCTGGTTGCAAGAACTTTAAGATATTCACTTTTGTATACAGAAAAGACATTCCAAAAGCTTTCTTTTACAGCACTCTCAACTTGAAGAGGCTAGGAAGCTTTAACAGCAAACAGTTTCTGTACTTCATGAAGATGAAGAAAGAAGAGGCATCCAAAGATGTTGGAAGTGCTAACAAGGCAGATTCGGGTAGCCATGTTGGAAACAAGGTTTTGCCCATAAGTGAGGCACCGTTGTCATCCTCAGCTGAAAGAAAAGACCAATGTGGTGATGATGCCACAGAAACTAAAGATCAAAACAAGAAAAAGCCAATGTCAAGAATGAAAGAGCTACTCAGATGGGCTGCTTCTTCCAAGTCAGAGAAAGGAGGGAAATTCAATGGAAGAAAGGTGAACTATTTTTAAATCTCTAAAATGACCCTTTTATTTTATTTTATTACTTTGATCAAAACACAACCTTAATCTCTGTTTCTCAGTTGAATTGATCTTGAAAATGTTGTCAGGTTTTAATGTTCAGAAGGCGTGGAAACCTGAAAGCAATTCCAGATGATGATCAAGGATGCACCGAGTCACCCAAGATCAGTTTCAGATGGGATGTGGAAAGCTGCTCCACCACTTCCTCTGTTTACTCAGCAATCTCAATAGCTTCCTCATCAAAAAATGGATTTAACCAAATTTCAACTTCCACTTTATCCATCCCTCCCGAACACACTGTCCACAATAAATCTGCCAGAAAAGGAAACTGGATCACAACAGACTCTGAATGTATGCCACATCTCTCTATACATATTTTCATTTTCTTCATTTTCATTCTAAGATCATAAGCTTCATCTTTATCTTCACCATATATTTTCTGTTTAATGAGCAGTTGTGGTGCTGGAACTGTGAAAGAATGAGGCTGAAGGGGATATTGCATGTGTGGTGAAGTGTTAGGTGGCAAACTACATCACAAGTTAATGCTCTAAAATGTGTCATGTTCATCATGGATTATTTTCTGAGATATTTCTAGAGATTTTATGTAACTTAACTAAAGATAGAGAGATCAAGAGGCATAAGGAAAAGAGAGTAATTAATCATCTGAATTTGCTAGATGGTGATCAAACAGATCAAATGCCCATGGCCATGACATGAGAATGTTTGCTGTCTGCATTATTAGGAGTATTAATTAATTACGTGTTGACTCAACTAATTAATGTAGATGGAACCACTTTTTCCTGTAAATCTCTTATAATCGCCATTGATCATTTTCTCAAGTTTATGCTATTAGTATACAAGTCATGTGTAACCAACATTAATGTTTTTTAATATATTCATATAACAAACATCTCTGTTAAATGCAAGAGCTCGAAAGTTGGTTTGTTGTAATTTTGAGATTAGCCATATATATTTCACAATATTGCTTTTCCCCTCCTAAAAAGAATACTTTTGTATTAAAAATTTAAATACAAGTTAAAAGTCACATTCGAAATTATAAATTATCATCAACTTTAATATAATATTAAAACTATTACTTTCAATAAAAAAAATTACGAGATTTCTGTATAGATGTTCACTTTTATCATCTCTACCTACATTGCTTTGTGTTGANTAATTAATTACGTGTTGACTCAACTAATTAATGTAGATGGAACCACTTTTTCCTGTAAATCTCTTATAATCGCCATTGATCATTTTCTCAAGTTTATGCTATTAGTATACAAGTCATGTGTAACCAACATTAATGTTTTTTAATATATTCATATAACAAACATCTCTGTTAAATGCAAGAGCTCGAAAGTTGGTTTGTTGTAATTTTGAGATTAGCCATATATATTTCACAATATTGCTTTTCCCCTCCTAAAAAGAATACTTTTGTATTAAAAATTTAAATACAAGTTAAAAGTCACATTCGAAATTATAAATTATCATCAACTTTAATATAATATTAAAACTATTACTTTCAATAAAAAAAATTACGAGATTTCTGTATAGATGTTCACTTTTATCATCTCTACCTACATTGCTTTGTGTTGATATATTGAATGACCATACACATACCCAAAAGTATTTTGGAATTAACACATGGACCATATATATTGCACCATTTGCTTTACCACTCCTTAAAAAAATGTACTTTTGTATTAAAAAAATTTAAAATATAAATTAAATATCACATCTTAAATAAAAATAATAAAATTTGAGTTTAATTTACATGAAAAATCGAAAACTTTTTCTCTTAAAACGGTGAATTATAAGTCTTATTTTTTCATAAGATGTTCACTTTTATGATATCTACTGAGACTTAACTCGTATTTAACTATAAATTTATGTAATATAATTAAAAGTATGTAAATGGAAGAAAAGATAAGAATTTAAAGAGAAGATATAAAAAAGTTGAAGGGAATGAAGTAGAAAATTCTGGATGGATGAAAACTTAAAAAGATATTCTTAGAAAAGCTTAGAAAAGTTTAGAATGTGTATAAGTTGATGAAGCCTATAAATAGCCACGTCCTATAGTCATGTGAGTGGTAGTGTATCCAATCCACCACCAACCTCTATCTAAGTGCCATGCAAGAAAAGTAACATTTATTCTAATTATGCTGTTCTCCTTAATTTTGGGTTCCACTATTTAATCATTTCATCTCTTTCTAAAATCCAATAATTGCTAATGTGATCGTTATGTAACATTGGACTCACTTCCATTCTTCCATTTTATTTAACGTTTTAATCACAAAATGTTGTCTCATTTTAACAACATACTATAGTACCACTGAAACACTAAATATTTTCTTATTATAATATCTCTAACCATTTATTTTAGAGTGAGAAAATCAGGAAAACTACAAAAGAGACCGAATATATTAGGAAATTACACGATTTTGAATAGGTAAAATAATAAAGTCTGAATATTAAGAACTAAAGAGATTAAAAGAAATTCAAAATCAAAATTGAATTAAATTAGAAACTAAAAGTTAAAGTTTGTTTTGATTCCATGATAAACGTGAAACAAAATAAGCGGGAAAGAGTCGCCAAGGCTTACAACGCCCTCGATATGAAAATAGGCCTTTGCTTCGTGCAACCATGCTTTCTATATTTAAGGTCCAAACACGTAAAATTTTTATTTTAAGTTTTTTGATAAAGGATTTTCATTTTTTTAGTATTAATATATTTTTATTAAATTAATTATAAGATATATTTCAATGTGAATAAAATTTAACTAAAATATTAAGTGAATGTCAATTTTTATTTGTATTCAAAATAATTTCTTTCAATAAATCATAATTTCATTTAAGAAAAAGAAATTGATTAATAATAAATCATAATTTCATTTAAGAAAAATAAATTCATTAGTAACTAATAAATTATAATTTCTATCCTTTTCTTTTCTCTATTCATGATTTTTTATTTATGAATTAGAAAACTTTGAATTTTTGTTAGACATAAATATTTGGTTTGACTTTTTATTTGCATAAGAATTTACAATCTGTATTGATAGACCTATTAAATAATTAAAAGATCTTTTTTCATATTTTGAGAAGTACATAAAAATTGGATTTGATAATCAAGGAATTCGCTTTTAAAATAGATACAAAGCCTAAGTTTCATGAAAAATATATTAGATTTGATGAAAATGTTGATAATGAAATTATAAAATCTGTTAAAGAATTATTTATAAATGATTACTTTGTATATTGTAAATAAAACAATTAGTAAATTTGAATAATTTAAAATATATTAAGATATTTTAAATTTTTATTTATTGTAAAAAAAATTAAATACATTTTTTGAAGAAAAATGTTTAAAATATAATAATTTGTTGAATTTTAGTGGATTGGATTTATTTTCAAATTTGAATTTCTTAAAGAAAATTATAGAATTGTGAAATGATAAATCAATTGATATTTTTAATTACATAAAAATAATAAATTATTTTTTAAATACATATATTTTTTTATAGAATAATGTTAACAATTTTGGTATTATGTTTTAGTCGGAATTTTTTTTTAAAACTAAAAAAATAATAAAAACTTAATAAAAATTTATTTAAGATGAAAAATGTATCAACAAAAACTAAACATATTAGCCTTATTAATGTCAGATAATTTTGTAGTTTAGTGACGATTTTAATTGTCACAATATTTATGATAGCATTAATTTAATATAACTCTCGAAATAATTTTAACTAAAATTATTAAAGTCGGTTTTAGTCATCTCGAAATTAATTTTAAAACTTTTGATCTAATATTTAGCTATGATTATAACCATCAGCAAAATCAGCAAAATCGTGACTCTTTAAAAAAAACATCAATATTTAGTGACGGTTATAATTGTCAACAAAATTATATTTTTTTAAAATAAAAATAAATATAGAAACCTAACCAATATACAACTAAAAGGAAAGAAATTTATATACAAGAAAAGTTATATTAAATTTGATAGTTTGGTGCGAGAGCTAGAGTCATGATTTCATATACTGTGAAGTAATAAAGCTCATGAATATTAAGTAGTAGAACCACAAAAATATTTTCAACATAAATTACTTCAATTGCTACCTGCACCCCAATACTTTGTTTTATTAAAATGTGCAACTTTGATAATTTATTTAAATGATGTTTTCTTCTACCTCACCCATTGAGTAAGAAAATATCTTAGTACGTTACTTTTACCTGCAAAAATGATATTTACTGTCAATTTTTTACCATGGAAAAACAAGAGTTCTTATTGATGGCCTGAAACTACAAATTTGGAGAAATTTGGAGGAATTGTAGATTTGTGAATGAGTAGTAATGTATTATTGCACATGGTCTGTAATAGACTAATTGAAACCCAATCTCATTACAGATTGAGAATAGATTATAAATGAACTTAATCACATGACAAATGAACCAAACAATATTTTGGACAAGGAATCTCTACATATACAGCTATTGCCACTTACTGATCAAGCTGAGACTTAACGTAAGTGATCTCCACCATCCATGTGGCTGGATTATATCCATCTTTAATCTTAGGAACTCTTGTGATTTCCCTTTGAATGGTTCATGCACAATCCATAAGATTACTGCCATCATACTGATTCAAGAGTTTACACATTATAACAACAAAGATTTACCTCAAAGTACTCAATAAGATTACGAGAATTCGGACCAAGAGGGCCACCATATATCACTTGTCCACCCTCAAAAGCAAATAAACAAGTAATTCAAGAGTGAGTGATTGTTATGCCTTCAAAACCATTACCCAAAATTTCAATTGTTTTTTATACCTTAACTTTATAAAACTCTTGTGAGATTTTACTGTTAAATAGATTCTGTTAGTTATAATTTAGATATTATTATAATTTATGTAGATTTGTGCACCTGTCATTGAAAAATTATAGGATCCTTGTATGTATTATATATAGTACTCTACTCTTTGAAATAATACATCAGAATTATTCTTTGAACCTTTTAATATGGTATCAGAGCCAAACACTGATATCCTCTATAATATAGGAATCAACGTTTCTTTTTTTCATTGAATATTTCTAATGGCTCCTTTCGATAAAAATCAATCGGAGAAACATGATTCTGGAACTTCTGCGACTTCCAAGAGTTATATTTCTACTGCTATCGGATTTGTGACCAAGTCAGGTATATCTAACTCTACCCTTAATCTTTCTGTTGTTACTAAGGGTAGTGATTGGATAATTGATTCAGGTGCTACTGATCATATGCCTTGTGATCCTTATATATTTACTAATTTTTCCTCTAATTGTTCTAAAACTGTTATTATTAATGGCAATGGGGTTTCATCTCCTATTGAAGGTATATGTACTATATCCCTCTCACCCTCCTTATCGATTCTTGATGTTTTATTTGTTCCTACATTAAACTGTAATCTTATTTTCGTCAGCAAGTTAACCAAATCACATTCGTGTGTTGTCTTGTTTTACCCAACCCATTGTCCTTTTCAAAACATCCATTCCAAGGAGAAGATTGTCAGTGGTAGAGAGAGTGAATGACTGTATCATCTTGAAAATGTCTCACAATAAACTCATAAAAGAGGGTTGGCTTGTCTTGTGAATGATCACATACAAGATAAAAACAAAAAGGAAATTTGGTTATGGCATAGACGGTTGGGACATCCCTCTTTTTGTTATTTAAAAAAATTATTTCCATCATTATTTTATAAATGTAATATTTCTGATTATTTTTCATAAAACTTGTGTTATGGAAAAAAAATCATCGTGTTGTGTTTCCTTTAAGAAATAACAAAACTGATTTTCCTTTTT